ATCGTAAACCTTTGAAAATTATATAAAAAAAGTTTTAGTTTTTAAAAACTGACAATTTTATTTTATCAATTTTCTTATTGTATATGTGACATTTTTAAATTCTACATTAGATCTTTAGGTGTGACTGCGTTGAATCTTGAAGACTTCAAGTCGATACGACCAATATTGAAGAAGTTAAGATTTCTATAGTTGTATTTTAATAACTATAAATCGAAATACAAAATTCAAGGTTTGGGACTCAGATCATCTATGATACAATCTTATAATGTACTTGAGCAAAAGTATTCAAATACTTTTTAATTATACTTAAATACCGCATATTTTACGCATACTTTTCAAAATACGTATCTATACTTGTATAGTAAAAAAATATGTTTCACAAGGTCTGATTATACCTTAGGTATGAATTAATATATACCTACACTTAGTTAAAATTAAAACTCATACTGCAACTACACAAGAATAAAGAATTTATTAATTTCAAAAGGCACTAGTAATTTTATTACTACGCCACAAAACTACATAACTCATAAGTCATAACTAAATATATATAACAAAACTAAATAAACTAAATATTTAACAGAAATTAACAATTTATTATAATATTATGTCACTGTCTAATCCAATAACATACCGTGTCTTTTATACCATGTATAGTAGGGTATTATATTAATCAAACTATGTAGGTATAACAATATAATACTGTAAATTGTCAGTGTCATATACTCATATCATAAATATTGTTATTACTTATTATTATGATAAAATTTCAAATGTTCATCAATAATAATAAATGTTTTACTTATACGTTCGTTTTTTCTCCGTGATAATTACAACATATCCAAGGGGGAATGTTTCGCTCAGAGGACACTGCTTTTGCCGTACTGCACATCACGGGAAGATTACACAGTCGTTATCCACCTATTTGCACCTAACACAAAACCATTTACCGTATTCTATTTTACAGGGAGATTTCACAATTTCACAATTTCACAATTAATCTATTAATCTGTAAACTGCATACAACATACCATGGGCGCCCATTGGGGGGGGGGGGAAGATAGGAAGATTTCAGAACTGATATATTGATATAGGTAACCAAATGAATAGAAAGGTGTGAACTATGAAACTGCGCATTTTAATATGTTCTATGGAAACATTGGAAACTCTCCGATCCATTGATTATACATAGTATATAATATGGTTAGGTATATACTATGTATAATCAATGGTTGTACTAACAATAATAAAATAATATTAGAAAACAAGTTAGGTTTTAGTTATTACACCCTGTGTATAGTTATTATAGTATTACCGAGGATTTTCTGATGGCTCTTGAGGCCAAATTTTTGGTGGAAATATACAATCATCTTCTACGTATACGTATACGTATTACATATATGATATATGTAATATATAATCAGAAAATAAGCATCCTACATCTATATTTTGACATATAGATACAAGTTCAACGAATGCATTTTCGATCTCATGTGGTGGTAGGAATGGCAACCCGAAAAATAGTTTTAACCAATTTCCTAATACGCCGTCGTTTGTATATGCTGCTCGGAGTTGCTGATCAGAATTTATCTGTAAAGTTAATACGTTTAAATTTATAATTTTATTGTATTATGTGTATATTTATAATATATTTTAAGCATAATAAATTACTTTCCGCCACCAACACTGCCCTAAATGAAATCGACATGCTTGAATTTATCTTATGATACAACCAGGCCTGTATTTAGGGGAGGGCCAGGGTGGGCCATTGCCTCTCCTGGCGGAACTTGGGGGGGATGTAAATTTTCACGAATTTTGTTTATGTATTAAGCTAACATATGGTTATAATTTTGAAATTATATAAAATATTTTTTTCCTTATGTATGTATTGTGTGGTTTGGTGAAGATTTCAAAACATTTGCTATGAAACGGGCAAGAAGAAAAAATTGTTATCATTGTATCTATTTTAGTTTTTTATTGCAGTTTCAAACAAATAATATCATGCATATATTATGATTATATATTATACCTACTTATACTTTCTCTATAATATAATAATTATTAATAATAAATGTGTAATGTGTTTAAAATTGTTAATAAAAATTAATATTAATAATATAATTAAATATTATAATATAATATAAAATTAAATTAGTAAGCGTGGTGCATGGCGCCATGGTAAACCGCAACGTTATGCAAATGCGTAAAACAGAAAATCGAAAGCTTTGGAAGTACATAACTTATAAAAGAATGATTTGAATTTTCTTCTTGCACATTCGTTCTTAACTCATATTAAATACATGTTTAAAAAGGTGGGTAAGTGGATGTCGCTCTGCTGTACAGTAGGTTACAAGTGGGTCACTGTTTAATGGATGGTAAATTTGAATTCAATGATATAATATCATTGTAGGTATACGAAAAACGATTCTGAGCTGGGACGGGTTGTCATGTGGGATATTTGATATTATATTTAAATTTGTTATTACTTATTACAAATACGGTAGCCGGTGAGTTCAATTAATATTATTATAAAATTTCAACAAATAATAACTAAAATCGTTTTTCTTGGTTATTTTATATGTAATTTCGTCCAAATATGAACATAAAATAACTATAAAAAAACTGTGTGTTTATACATTTTTTTTAACACTGGACATCCACATATTCCACCAAAAGGAGGGGCGGAATTTAATCATTTGAATCATTTCATTCACACTTTAATCAACAGTTCTACAAATCACACCCAAACATAAGTATATTTTTAAAAATTTTGGTTGAAAATGTCCAGACGGACACTTACATTAAAATAAATAGTGCCAATTTAAATATTCCGAATACACCGAAAAATAAATCAACTTTGTTAAAATGTGCTAGGACTAGTAAGGCTATAACTGATTTTAAAAATAAACTAATATCCCGTTATTCGTACGTAAAGTGTGTTGCATTCAATTATGTTAAATAAATTAACAAAATATTTGTTAATTTTATTATGACTTTTTAATTATTTTAATTTTTATATTTATAATAAAACTAGGTATGACAAAATATTATGTATTTATTAAGAATATGACAAAATATTATGACTTTTTAATTATTTTAATTTTTGTATTTATAATAAAACTAGGTATGATAAAATATTATGTATTTATAAATAAGTGTCTTTTACTTTATTATCATATTCATTAAACTTAGTAACTAGGTATGACAAAATATTATGACTTTTTAATTATTTTAATTTTTGTATTTATAATAAAACTAGGTATGATAAAATATTTTATGTATTTATAAATAAGTGTCTTTTACTTTATTATCATATTCATTAAACTTAGTAACTAGGTATGACAAAATATTATGTATTTATTAAGAATATGACAAAATATTACCTATGTATTTTTTATTTGAGTATAATATATTTATCAATATAATATGTTCTTATATAATATTTTATAATATAAACCATGTACAATTATCTCAAGTTAAAACTTAAATATTCCTTAAAAATAATATGCATAATACTCCAAGTATTATGGAATATATTATTATATAATAATTTTACCATAGCAGGTAGTTGGCGGAAACGGGAATTGAACCTTTTTCAATTTGGCGGAAACGGGCAATGGCGGAATCGGTCATTTCAAATTTTGGCGGAAACGGGTAATTCCCAATTAGTGCCCCGGGGCACATCATTTCTAAATACCTACGGCCCTGGATACAACAAAAACTTATCTAATAGGTAAGTTAAGTACCTACCTATATAACCGGGAAAATATAATCATCTGTTTCATGTTTGGACCCTTACTTATATTTAAGTGAGACGTACGTAAAACGCTATAACCAAGTCAAATAGTCAAATACCTACGTAACCTTATGAAAATCTGGCAACATTGCGCTAAACTCTTGGGTACAAAACGTACGGAATCGACAGGAATCGTGTGTCTTAAAATGTGTACGATTCTGTACGCTGATAAGGGCCGTACGGAATCGTGTTCTACCCACGTGCAAGGCCCCTTAAGTTCAAATTTGGACGAATTACATAACGTCATTTAAACATAGAAAAACGATTTTAGTTAGATATTTTGTGGTAATTTAAAATTATTATTCACGTGTACCTACTCGAAACTCGACTGTGGTATAATCAATGCTGTTATATTACTACTATTTTATTCATATAATATCTATGCGTGCGCCAAATGCCAATGCTCGCCATTGCTCGGGAAATGGGAACAAAATACAAATCAACAAACTACAAAGCAGGGAAAAAATATTTATTGGAATATATTATTTTTGGAACAAATGGTTTATTCCGAAATTGTCACTTGTACATTTGTTCCAATGAACTTTTTTGCAAGCCATATATTCTGTTCCGATATATTTTGTCAAAATCCAATAAGCATTTATTCCAATGATATTTGTTCCAAAGGATTTATGCTACAAAAACATTTGTTCCAATGTTCTCTTTATCAAATTACATTTGTTCCAATGGATATTTGTTCCAATAAGTTTTTAGAACAAAAGTTTTTGGAACAAATGTCTATTGGAACGAATAATTGTGGAACATGTAATACAGTCCCGATGATTCATCCAAAATGATCACCAAGAGTGAACCGTGTAAACGCGCCTTAACCGCACGGACCAAGATATCTTGTCCGTGTTTCCGGCTACCACGATTTCATCGTTTCTGTGCTGATACGCTGATAGTTTCCCGCCAATTATAGTTGGCGTCGTGTTGATATCCACAGGTATATCGACAAAACTGATATGGGTAAAAAAAAAGTTCTTGTCCAACTCTCCGTCTATAGTAGCTACTTAGCCCGACTTAGGCGAACTCGGGAACTCTAAAAACAAGACAGTGAGTATTTACTTTTTAGTTTTCTCTAGTATTCCGGTCTGAAGTTGACAAGAACTCGGGATTCAAGTGGGTTGGATTAATCAGATTTGTCGTGTAGTAAAAGTTTTCGAAGTGTAGGATCATTGTATTTACATCCGTGCTAAACGAAATCATGCCCAGAAACGTAGAGATCAAAGCTCGCGTTGAAGACTTGGAGGCCGTCAAACAGCGCATATTAGCGTTGCGGTCGAACGCTGCTTATGACGTCTGCCCGGATCCCACGGTCATGAGACAAAAAGACTCGTTTTTCAATTTACCAGCCGGTAGATGTGGCAAATTGAAACTCAGACAAATGGTAGGAAATAAATAATTTTGACTGTAGTTTTTTGAAGGTACACACAAACAATCTTGGGATTTTTCTTTTTACGTGTTGAATATACTATAAATATACATATTAAAATAACACTAGTAGTTGCATCTTATCCCCAACAATGATTTATTTTTGTGATGACCTTTCAAATATATTCAATTTTGAATTTCCCAAAGTTAGAAATGAAAGCTGTTTACCTAAACAACAAATACTAAAACAGTTAGTACTTTCACCCAGCCTTCCACAAATCAAAAATGCAGGACATTGGGTATGTCAGTAATAATATAATATACAATGTAAACCAAAGCGTAATAATCAAAAAATAGTTTTAATTGATTAAAGATTAATTATTGTATTTCTATAAAATATTACATACCTACTATATATTTATCATGTTCACAGGGTCTTTTTAATGAGTTAATTTATTATGACCGCGAGGAAAGCACTGGACCAAAGTTAAGCTCTTATAATAAATGTCAAGTAAGCGAAGATGTAGAAAAAGTACTGACAAATGCTTTGGGTGCGTGGGGAGTCGTGAATAAAGAAAGAAGTTTGGTCATGGTTGGCCAAACAAGAGTGCATTTCGATAGGGTTGATGGTCTTGGGGATTTTGTAGAACTGGAGGTTAGTTTTTATATATGATATTAAAAAATGAATTTATTGATTTTGATCATTATTTATCTAGGTAGTTTTGAGCGATAGCCAAACAGTTGAGGATGGACAATCAATTGCAGAAGACCTGATGTCTCATATGGGAATTGAATTAAAAGACTTGATATCTGTGGCATATGTAAACATGCTTGTTCAAAATAAATCATAATATCTGAACATTTTATATAAAAATAAATAAAATATATTACTATTATGCCCAAAAGTCTGAAGATTTATCTGTTTTATTACTACCAAATGAAATTGAGTGATCACTTTCTTGTAATTTTTTACTCGTTGACAAAGTATCCACTCCATTTGAACGGTCTTGCTGTACAGATGTTTGTTTATGTGGTGAATCAATCATTTCTGTATGTTTAAACAATTGTGAATCAACATTATCATTGTTTTGAACTTCATTGTTAGTATCAGGAAGAAGCGTGTTTGTTGCATCTGATTCAATTTGTAATTTGTTGACTTTTGGCAATTGAGTAGATATATTAGATCTATTCTGAGAAATTTCAGAATGATAATTGGATTTTTTAATTGGAGACTCAGTTATTGAACTAACTTTATTTACAGGTGATTCTTTGAACATATAATTTTCTCTAATATTGGATGACAATAATTTTATTGGCGAAATATTTGTGGAATTCGTATGATCCTGAAATTTAGTATTTCGTAAGATTTCAGGGCTTGTATCATTTTCAGACTGTGAATGGTTCATGGATCGCCTAATTGATCGGTGATAATCAATCTTGTTGGCAAGCTCTTTTAAATTAATCTTATTAGTGCTACGTTTCAATGCATCTAAATCTGATTCGTCTGAAAAGTTTGAACGAATTTTGTTGTATGATTTTCCATTGTCTCTAATTAATTTGAAATCTATGTTATGACGTGAACGATTTATTTGGAAATTTTTCAAGTCTTGTTCTATTTTTGCTGTATTAATTTCTAAAGTTTTCAGTCTGGATTCGGCTTCTTGTATTATATCATCTTCTGTTAGATTATCAGACTCTAAAACAGTTGTTGAGTAATCTGTAGTTGTTGAAGAAATGTTCTGGTTGGTAAAACGGTTTTTTTTACTGGAATCGTCAACAAAGCATAGTTTTTTTTTTACATTTCTATTTTCATAGTCTGTCTTAGTTGATGGTATTTGATGAGTTTTTTCAATTTGTTTTGCCAAATTTGATGCTCTATTTGATAATTCTTCAATCCTAAGTCGCTGGACTTTTATAAATTCACGCAACTCGTCATTGTCTTTTTGCAATTTTTTCACCAATTCTCGATCCTGTACCTAAATAAAAAATAATTTTTAACTTAAAAGTGAACAAAATAATTCAAATATTTTTTAACTAACCAACGAAGAATCTATTATTTGTATGTTATTATCAAAATCTTTTGAACATGTTTGCTCAACTTTTTTATATCTTTCAAACTCGTCAAGTTTAGATTTTATTTCCCCTAATTGTTTTGCCAAATCAATGTTTTGTTCTTGCAGCAGTTTAATTTGACTGGTCTCACAAATTTTTGTTTCATTCATGCAATTTAGTGATTCTTTTTTTAACCTGAAAGCATCCATTATAGTAAAATCATATTTTATTATTTTATAGGTGCACAAGTATTAATAATACTAACATTTTTTCATGTCTCAAAATGTTCATTTCTTTTAATCTTAATTCAAATTTTTGATTTTCAATGTCTTGTAATTTTTTTTTGTGTTCTTCTTCTGACCTATTCAATTTTTCCTGCACAAACTTTTCTTTTTCCTGTACCATGAAGTAATATTAGTTATTTATTTATTAATTTTATTAAGATACATAATTGGAATAAAGTTAAGTAAATTAGGAAAATATTTTATAGCATAAGATATAAGAATTAAATTAAATTAAGAAGTCTGATGTTATTTTAATTCACAACAATTAAAAAAAAAGTATCTATTTCTATTACTTTTAGAACATTAAAGCCGGATTCACAGCTATGTCATGTATGGGCGTGGTATATATGATTACAACTGGTAACCATAATAGTTGAGCAGTTGAGCTGTAGTTAATTCTTGGTATACTTGGTTGCAATTTTGTAATTACACGTTGGTATAAAAGTAATGTTTAATCAGAATGTGATTTGATCGACACAATATATATGTATGTACACAATATAGCTATGATAAGTGTGAACTTGGCTTAATGTGTGTTGAAAGTCAGAGAATATTATGACTTTATTATAATTTACTATTATAGTATTTTAAAAATGTTGACATTTTTTCTATTTCTTAATGATATAATGAACGTTATATTAATGGAAAAAAATCTTCAGAAATGTTGTCACAATTCAATTTTATAATAGGTATTTTTACTCTAAAACCGAAATTGGGCGAGTTCTACATAGACTGCGTAAACGCGGTTTGTCTATGTCGTACTTATGTAAGACGGAGACAACACATGCAGGTGTGTCCTCTTAATAGTGCCATCCTTTGTAATTACTGATTTAGAAATCAAAATACTGCTGACTCCCGAGGACCCGTTCTCATTTTTATTATAAAAATTATAGCCTAAAAAAATCTAGGAAAACAGTTTTTAACAAGTCGTTTAATTGCTGAAAGCTCTCTGCTATTAAGAAAATGCTGATTAATAAGTACGAATATTTAAACTGTGGGAGGGGGGGATGTGACCGGCCCTGATTATAACAATTAATTAATAATTTAAGTAAATGTAAATACTTTAGTAGTTGAGTGTAGCTAATGTGAGTTTTGTGATAAACGGTAAACATAAAATAATTGAATGAGTAATATAACATTATAGTTAAAGCATTTAAGGTGTGGACAAAGGTTATTCCAGATTCGCTAATCTATGTATCTTATGTAACAGATGATTATGGCAGCAAGAAGTTGAGCCAGTTGGAATATAAAAAGGAGTTTGATTTCTCACTTATACATTTAAAAAAATATTTTTGTTATAAGATTAACAGTTTCAGTCATTCATTTATGATTTTAATTATAATATAATTAAACATTCTACAAAACCAAAAGGAAATACAAATATATTATATCTATATAATATATTTATATACTTACTGTTAAAGATGTTACCTTTTTTTTTGTTGTAAATACCTAACAAAAAATAAAATAAAATTTTATGTTGCTATTTAAATTAACATTGCTCACTTACTTCAATTACATTAATTAATTGATAGAGCTGCTGTTGTTCTAAACGGAGCTGTTGTGTGGCATGTTCTACTTCTTCTTTTTGAAACAAAAATTGACTATCTCGAGAATGAAAATGTGCAGCCAGCATTTGTTCTACATCAGCAACTTTCTCTACCATTTCCTTGTTCTGTCTTTCTAGTTTTTTTAGGTGTTCTTTGTACTTGGTTTCTTCTTGAGCATTTACATTTTGGTGGTACCTGGAAATTAAAATTGATAAAAATAATGCCTTACAATTTATTGTGTATTACCTATTACTTTTTTAATAATATTTTCAAAGTATTTTTCTGTCCTTCTTTTAAATTGAATGAGCACAGGATGTCATCGACACTTACCAGCCAACTATTTAATCTATGTTCAAAAGTATTACTCTCAATGTTATTAGATTTGTTTGTTTCTTTACAATTTTGATTGATTTTAACTTCATTGTCTTGACTGTAACAATGGAAATTATTAATAGACTGTAATTTAGTAGTTTACTTTTTATAAATGTGACTATAATTTAACTATCTGGCCAAATTGAAGAGAATTTACATTTTGAGTTTTTGATAAGGCTCTCGCCATTTTAAATTTTCAATAATTATACATCTACTGACCAGTTATTAAATTAAAACTGTCTTACATTTTATTAAAATATAATAATTATTATATTATTAGGATAGTTTGACACCTGAGATTATTTTTTATAGTAGTCATTGATTTGAATAGGCAAGCCAACAATGAATGAACTTGTTTTTCATTAAAATAGTATTGGCACGTCAATTCGGTGATATCAGAATTTGGTTGAATGCCTAATGCTTCTAAAATATCCTGAACATCATTTAATTGAAAACTAGGCTTGGTGACTGGAATTTTTCGAGTGCTATCACCCAAACGATTTACATAGGAAGAGAATTCATGTAAATTGCCCAATAACGGTACCTAGACAAAAATTGTACTTTTAGGCGAGATGTAACACAATTATTTTATAATGTAAGGTTTATAGTGTACGTGTGCAATATTACAAAAAAGTACAAAACAAAACCTACTTCCGTAATGAACACGGACAATGTGAACACATTTTCTTGGTTCATCAGAAAATCAGCAACTAAGAGGTTGATGGCCTGAATCTTTGGGGAGGTGACATTTCTTTTGTTAGTGTTCCATGTAGAGCTGTCTTCTAGAGTAGTGATCATCTGTTCTCTTATGTGTGCTCGCAGATTGTTGATGATCCCTTTATCTTTAAACCTTTAGAGGCGTAGAAACAAACAGAATAAACAAACATAAATACCAATCACATAGGTAGGTGGTAGTAATTCAGTGATAAAAATAGCATACCATGGGTAAAATTTACTTTGAATGTCTGCATTTTCCGCGTTGTTATTGAGAGAAGTTAAAAAATCGTTTTTCCACTTATCAACATCCATAGTGTGGTAGATAATATAGAGTAAGTTAAACAAGTATAATAATCTTAACAGTACCACTGCAAACTTGTAGATGAGGTTATAAATTTAATTTTTACCTCTCTGCCAGTATAGTACCTACTTATATAGCTACATCGTAAGACTTAATTTCATATAATGTAATATACTAGAAAATAGTAATATTTTTATTTAGATTGCCACTAGTTAGAAGTCGATACTCAATAGACATGAGCCGGTCAACCCAGTCACTCGCATCAGCAAGAGTAATCAGTATTCACTATTCGGTAATGAGCTCGTAAAGTTGTATTGTTGTAAGTTGTTTTAGAAACTGTAAAAAACCGTAAACAAAAACATATTCATATCGAAATGCGACTACTTAGTAGAGTGATAAGCACTTGTCCGAAAATGATTGTTGATGGTTGATAAACTGATAAGTATATTACGTTATCATATCATTTTATGGTTTGTTACTTGTTACTTGTTATATAGTTGTTACTTTGCAGTTGGTTATAAATTGACTCATGAGTAGTTAGTTACTTACTAGTTTAGCATGCAAGATCTATTAAGAAGATTTTTCATAATGTATTTATGCTTTTTAGATTCTTTATAGATCTCGACGAGCATGAACTATAATATAGGTCTTAGTTAATAGTCTAACCAATAGAGTAATTACTCTATGGTCTAACCGGATTACCGGAACAGGATTCAAGATTTGTCATAATGATGCCTAATAATTTATTGAATGATTTATTACGACACATCATGATAGTGGAGGGTGTTCGTTATTGCTATGGAAAAGGAATTATTCGTGAACAAATCGAACGGGCATAATGCAATTTTAAATATGATTGTACAGTTGATAAGCTCTATGAAGTATTACCGTACGATTTATAACGAATAGGGAAAATAAACCATATAAGTAGAAAATTTTGTAATGTAATAAAAGTAAAAATGAAATTATTAAATGTTGTAGTCAAATAATCTCATAATACACGAAGTTCGCAGATGTCCCTGTAGCGCAGAGGATAGCGCGTTGGACTTCTAATCCAAAGGTCGTGGGTTCGATCCCCACCAGGGATGGTTGATCAGAAATTTTTTTTGCAATTTTTTCCGTGTTTTTGTTCTCAAACTTTATAGGATTTATTTATTTATTAATTATTAATTTTTATATTAATGATATTGTTTTAATTATTTACAGTTGTAAAATTATGATCTTATGGTATAGTGCAACCACATTACACCTGCATCAGTCGGTCGGCCCAGTGTCCAGTAGGTACCTATTGTACCTAAATCAGTCGCTTATTTAGGTATACTCACAAGTCACGACAGAAACTTTACTATTATTATATTATAGGTAATTTAATAATTATTTTTTTGGAGTGTTTCGACAGTATTTACTATTTTGATGCGCACACGTGACCCACAATTATTATAATAATAATATTATAATCTACTAATCTAGTGGGGCGGCTTTTTGAGACTTGAGTATAGTTGAGTGGCGATGAATCATCGTGTGGGGCATCATATAATTTGTTTTTATTGAAAAAAATAAAGCATTTATGGGATTCTGATATATTGTATTGGTGTAAGAATTTTAAATATATATTTTAATTATCTATACTACTATAATATGAAATCGCTTTTTTTTTTTGTTCGGGATAAACTTCGAAACTACTTATTCAATCGTCGTATATTATAAGTTCAAAATTGTAATCTGATGTATAAAAATCTCGTATATTAGTGTACGAACTCCTACGTAACGGATCAATCGATTTTAGTGACATACCTATTGGATATTTGGTAGGTATGAAAATAAGTCATAAAGTATTTTCCATCCTCTTACATCCAACCGGGAATTTTGAGATTTACGGTTTACATTTTTGTTTATAAATGGTTGCTATTGGTTATAGGAGAAATAATTAGTAAAAATAATTATTTATTTATTATTGGTTGCCATTGGTTATTCGGTTATCAGATCAATACATTATTAAGATCAGGTACAAGCTTGCATCAAATCGAATTTTCGAACATTGCCTATACCAATGTGGACGACGTGGTTGGATTGCCTACCAGAGTGGCTGAGTTGCACTGAGACTGCAACAAGTAACACCCAAAAGGAGTTGAACAATCATAATTTTTTTTGAGAGTTGCCATTTTTACGGACAACAAAGCACATGAAATCAGTTATAGTATATTAATTATAAAACTATAAAATATGTATAGGTAGGTACCTATATAAGCGCAAGTGGTGTTTGACGTTGGTGTTAAAATTTACTCTAGTTAGTAATAGGTACCTACTTATATCTGTTTCTACTTTCTTCCAATATCGAAATATTGCTCGTAAAATCAATTACTGCAGCAACTATCATGAATATTATAATCGAAAAATCAAACATTAAATGTCGATAATTTGATGACTTACATCCTATAGACCTATATTATAATTTAATCCCATTTGATCGAATGTTGGTATCTTGAGCACGCCATATTGTTGATACGAGTTTTCCTAAGTCTAAGTTACGACCTATACAGTATACTTCATATTAAACTCGTACGACGTACTACATATCGTATAGCTTTTAGTGGATATTGCTATTTGCTATTTTATTTATGTGCGACTTAGGCGTAGACTGTTTTGCATTTGTTGCGCGAAAGTGAAACTCACGTAGCTAGTGCAAGTGTTCGAGTGAAAATAAAGTTTCTAAACAATATATATTATATAAGAACAGATAAAAAAGTTACAACTATTTTTATCCGTTTCAAAGTAAAATTCAATTTGGTGCTCAGATTTTCATTTTATATAACATTATGGTTTCGAGTACCTGCCTACAATGAATTGGCCACTGCAGACAACTGTATTAAATCAGTTAAAGCAATATGAAGTTTTTGAGCTAATAAAGAATTTTGAAATTTAATTTCCTTTTTTAATTCTTTTGTTATACATTTAGAATTTAATTTTTAAAAACCGTAAGTAGAAATAATTTTTTATTTATTATGTAAAGTATGAATAATGTTCCATTTTTTAAATTATTACACACAGTATAAAGATAAAGTAAATAAATAGTAAACTATTGTTTTAATTTTTTAGATTTCATCTAAGTCAGATACCTATTAGCTAGAATGGTATTTTAGATTGCCTAACATTTTTATATTATAATTTTACATCGATGAACCACAGTAGTCACATTCAATCACAATATGTATGTATGTACTGTAAATATTCAAAGTTTTCCAACAGTTTTAGTTATATTTAAATTTAACCATCAATAAACAATGACTCAATGGAAATTATTAATGAACCATTATATTTATTTTGTGCGCCTAAAGTTTCGAAATTGAATAATTCACGAGCTCCGAAAACAAACCCATATTTTAATTTCCTATGTTATTTCACAAGATTAATAAAATAACATAACAGATTTATATTAATGATTTTTATGAATAATATTTCGTTGTGCAATAAAACTCACCGACTCCGTAAAGATTTACTCTTGCCGAATAGACAAAATTACAGACTTCAGTATAATATGTACAACAAAGATATGACATCGATATGGTCGATTAAAGGATACTATATTGACACTTAATACCGTAGAGAAAAAAAAAGAAATGAGCCTATTCATTAATTATAATTATACGATCTTACATATAGGTAATTATTTATTAGCTGGGGAATCGATGCACTTTTGACACTAAGAACAATATGGTGAGATCAGAATATTTTGTAGGGAAATGTAGTCTTTTATAGTAATGACTAATGACTGCAAAAATAAACTTTACCAGACGAACGTAAATTCATGAATCACGTAGTAAAATTTACCATTGAGTGCATATATAGTATTAGGTATAACAGTAACAAACTAAAAAAGGTGGGTAAGTGGATGTCGTTCTGCTGTACAGTAGGTTACAAGTGGGTCACTGTATGGATGGTGTCAAATTTGAATTCAATGATATAATATCATTGTATAAGAAAAACGATTCTGAGCGCAAACGGTCTGTCAGCCTATGATATTACCAAGTATATCTGTATATTTGATGATATTATTGTGAATAAAGTACCTACCTAATTTATATATTATAAAATAATCTTGTTTTAAATTTTCAATCTTAGATATTATAAAAGTTGAACATTTCATACAATTTTAACTACAAAATATTTTAAATTTGATAAATTTTGTCAAAACTCGATCTTTAAATTCTTATAAAAATAATTGTGAATATGCATTTTTAATATTTTTCAACTGCTATTGTAACAATATAATATTAGGAGCCTTGTATTACATTTTTACACTTTTTGGCATAACAGATAAAACTTTATTGATATTCAAAGAAAAAAAAAAAGAAAAAAATTGAAATATGAAATTGTCCGTAAACAGCTCAAAACAAGTCAAAATATTTTGAAAATTTTATCAAGTATAAGAATTGATAAAATAAACATTCAGTGAAATTTTCATGTATCTACAGTTCTTTGTTTTTAAATTACAACAAAATAAGAAAATCCCTACTTGAGAAATCGAGTGAATATCCAATGTTGTAAAAATTTGAATTTCAAACGCTCATAAAAATTTAATTTGACTTTCTTATAGTCATTTTTTTTTTATAAAGGTAGATAATCTTATAAGGAATCTTGTATATCATTTTAAAATTTTAGATTTAAAAAGGAAAATTTTTACGAATTCAAAAGAAAGAAAAGAAGAATTCAAAAGACGAATTCAAAAGAAAGAAGTCAAAAGAATTTGCTAATTTTCGTGATTTTTCCATATTTTGTCAATTTTTGAACTTTAAATAATTGTAAAAAAAAACGGTGACTAAGGATTTTTAATATTTTTCATCTGCCTTTGAAACAATATACTAGGAGCCTTCTATTAAATTTTCAAGCTTTTTTAACCAACAAATAATATTTTATTGATATTTTTAGAAAAAAAACTAAAAATGTCCCTAAACAGTTCAAAATATTTTGAAAATGTTATCGTGTATAGAAAATGCAAATATAAACAACCAGT